GTGGCTATGGTTTGCAAACTACTGCTTGCGAAGGCTGTTGTTAGGCCGCCCTTATCCTACTCAGCCCCACCCAAGGCTACAAACAACAACCTATCTGCCCCGACTAATAGCTATCTTGCGGCTGCTGGCGGAGCTCGAGAAGGAGCCCCAGTGCAGGGCGGTATAAGTGAGTTCTGTTAGCGATCAGTAAACGTTAGTCGGAAAGTGTCAGTATTCCCTGATCTAAAGCGGTAAAACAGTAAGTCAGTGGCTCAATGGGCATCGGGCAGAATAAACCGACTAATTTTTAGATGGGTAAGTTCACATGCGAATAGAAGGCAGAAAAAAGAGAGCCATATCTGTCAGTTAACAAGTGTACGCCTTTTTTTGCTAACTGTTAATTCCTCCTTTCAGGCTTCGTGCCCTGCACGGATGCGAACCCATCTATTACGATGACAGTTTGGCCCAACAGGCTCAAGCCTACGCGGAGAAACTGTCGACGAAACAGCGGCTTCTGAAAAGTCATCAGGGAAACTATGGCGAAAATGTGGCCGTAAGAACTGGTCTGGACGCGGATCGATTGTCAGGTAGGCAGCCCAACAGGCCATCTCTTCGGCATTTATATTAAATCGGCCTTTTTGCATCATTCATGCCTGTCCTATGACTCACTTACTGCACCCTCATATGTAATTCAAAAGTCTCTCAACAAACTACTTAAATTCGTGAAGCAAAACTCTAGTGTTTTCGAACATAAAAACGTGTGATCGGCTGTGTCCGACAGGGAAGTGCAATTATGTGCTCCAGTGGTTCCCCGCTTTATGTACTCTGAACACTTTATACCCTTTTTATACGACTGATTACAATTTGCATAAACCTGCTCATTTCACAGATAATAGTTACGTTTCAAAGTTTCAAAGGTTGACATGTTGACTTAAGGTGACCCTTTCAGATTTACCAAAACTTCTTCTCACACTCACTCAAGTGAATACCAAATTAGCGCACTGAAAACGTGATATACGCGGCGGGTGCAATGGCAACTCATGCAAATGTTGTGTTGTAAAGTGCGAGCATTGACCGATAGACAAAGAAAGTCAGCCATTTTCTGATTTAGTACGTGAAATGATAGCGTGGGCTAACGCGGCCAAGTGACGATGTTGCCTTTTGTGTTGAGGTAGTAAGTACGTAGTAGTGTGATTTAAAACACCGGGAGGATGAAAGTGAGATACTTGTTTAGGAATGTTGCAGAGAAGGCGAAGGTGCGATAATTAGGACAACATTTTCACTTGCCTGAGCTGTAAGCTTCGTACAAGAGACCATTATCAGAGACAATGCGTGTTCAGCATGAATTTATGTGTTTTGTGTTTCAGTTACGAGAATAGGTGGGAAGAGGGTTACGCTCATGTGAGGTTGTGTCCACGCCAGGAGAATGGACCGCACCATTTGGCCACGCAAATGAAGGGCGTGATAGCAGTGGGGTATATCAACATGTCTGTTGATGGGTTGGATTAATGTGTTTTTAGACGTATCTGCGACGTTAACGTATCCAGCCGCTGTGACAGACAGTGTTTGCATGGATCCAGCAATCCGACGAACAGATCTATTGACTGCACAAAGTTTACTTCCGAATTGATTCTCCCGTATGACGTACGTCGGGCTGCCCCCCAAGATTTACTGCAGAATCACTGGACTGCGGTTTGACAGTGTTATAACTGAAGCTAGCGTTTCATTTTTTCACCTTCAAACTTTGCGTTAGCATACGGTGCCACCCTTTTGTTGGTTTCGTTGATGGAAACAGCTTCTGCCTAACAGGTTCGTTCAGTTGAAAGCAGGCAGTCTTCAGCTGTCCGAAAATAGAAGAAAAATAAAGACCTACTTACTTTAGTACATATATGTACTAATGTGAATATGCGCAAATATTCGGTGTCCAGATATTATCTCCGGAAGAGGAAGAAAAAGAGGGAGCAAGTGCAGGGACCAAATGGTATTTTTGCTGACGTTTCGAAAACATGCACGTTCTCATCGTTAGAGCGTGGTGCTTACTCTTCCTCCAGCCTTGAGTTAATGCGCCTCGCCGCGAGCCGGATGTTCTACCCATGTGCGATGCCCGTGCGCTCGTCCGTCCGTTAACTGTTGATTGGCGCCATCCTCTCCATTGTACTTGGCGCTGCTTCAGCCTGTTCCTCTGCCTCCCCCACGTTCACAGCGTTTGTGTCATCGCGTGCGCCTTCGTCGGTCTGACCCTCGTTT